CGCCTCATAAGATGGAAAGAATTTTTTAAGGCCAAACTTAACCATGATGTGCCGTCTGGATATAGCTGATTCGCTTGTCGAGCCATACGTTTGCAACTTAGAAAGCTTGGAAACAATAAAATTTCCGGAGAAGATGATCCTCAGGCCGAACTCTTCAAATATCATCATCACTCACTTACTCACTTTCTTTCAACAAATATATTCTCCGGTATTGCAAAAATGTTCCAATTTCTAAAAAAGTGACAGCATACTGTGACAATTACCGAGAATTAGCCTATTAGACATTTTCGTTTCCTTTCCGCTAAATAGACTCATAGCAACACATGATAGCAGAATGCGTCCTAACCAAGCTGGATTTAGACTGGGACGTGGTTGTGCTGATTCAGATAATTACGTTAAGAAGAGTGCTGGAACATCCTTCAAATACCAGCAATCCACCGTTATCACTTTATTTATCGATTTTGCAACTGCCTTCGATTCAATTGATAGAGCAGTACTCTGGAAAGTGATGGAATATGACGATATGCCAGAGACGATCATTCGACTCATAAAGGCATTTTATTAGGATACAGGTCTGTGGATTTGGGGAACTGACTGATCCTTTCGAAATAAAAACTGGTGTACATCAAGGATGCATCTTTCCCCATACAATATTCTGCCATATGATAGACCGGATAATAGACATCGTTTGTCGGCATTTAAGAGGTGTGCGAATCAGTCCAGAATGTCATAGATCTTAAATACGCTGTTGATGTAGTTCTTTTTGCTGAAAGTTATGATGAAATGCAAACAATGTGTCAACAATTGCAGCAAGAATTGTATTAGAATCAATGTTAATAAAACGAAACGAAAAATGCTATAAAAAACAATCTATTTTAATCAACTCATTGCCGGCTGAGGAAGTGCTGGACTTTAATTACCTTGGATCCATTCTAATCCCAAATGGCCAGGCAAAGGATGAAATTATAAACCAGACAACAGCTATAAATGTTTTTTATAGAACCGTCGCGAAATCACCATAAAGACGAAAATCTACGTCCATCTTCGCTTAAGTACCACCTGTATTAATAATGTTAACACAGAATAGGGTACGTCGTCCACCACAGGAGTTGACGTTATTTGCTGTGATGGTTGGTGTCAAAAGCGAGGAGGACCAGTCATATCCTGGACTAATATAGTCAGGAAAGATTTTGGACGTACAGGGGACCAACGATAGATGGCTTAGGACCAGCGATATAGAGGATGGAAAAAGGAATGGCTTCTATTACTACTAGTGATTACTTTTGCAACCAGCGGAGCCAGCATAATCAGTAATAGTGAGAGCTGTTAGAAGAAAAAGAATTTTACAAATAATGCGTTCATGGAAAATAACACTGTAGATGTGAATTATATGTTATAAGAATTTTCAATATCCATAACCAAACTTGCCATAATTTTTCGAATTCAAATATTTATGGCAAGAATTATGAAAAGTGATGAAAGCTTTTTTTTCACTTAAGCTGGTTTGATATTTCTCCCATGCGACGCTATATCAATCCATGCTAGCTTGGTTGCCAGTGATCATCATAAACTAGGTTTTTGTCAGCTGTAATCAAAAGCAAGACTAATTATTTGCAAATAGACCATGGTGATGCTTTTTCTTAATTTTTAGGAAAATTTCGACTAATTTATAAAGATTTATCATAGAAATATACTTTACCTTATCATCGGGATAAAAGCAAACGCATTGAATAGTAAAACCGTACGCGTAATTACAAGATTGGCGCCTCAGTATCAGTGAATGAATAGACATTTATTTATATTTATGCTGTGACTGTTTTACTGCAAAATAATTTTTCGCTATAAAAATCAAAAAAATGTTGAACATAAATTCAAAAAACTTAGCGATCGCTTTCAACATGAATCAATAGCAAAACCATGAATAGCCCATGCATTATCTGTACATCATTATCATTCAACCTTTTAGACTCATTATCAGTCAAATTTTTGCATACTACATAATACAGTATGACGTTCAGTATTAAATGACGGATGGTCATTTCTTCCATTATAATTAAAAATTTTGCCATAGTAGATTTTTCCATATTGCCATAGATATATATATAGAAAGTTTGCCTTTTTTATATCCTTGTATCGAAAATAATTTCCCAACCTATAAATTTATCCAACTTCAGAAAAAAGACTACTGGTGCACCGACTTTATCTTGAATGAATTACATTTTGTTAGAATGTCAATAACTTAAATGGGAATAAAATTGAAGAAATATTGTATGGTCCGTCTAAATATTCAAATATGATATAATAGTGCCTAATGATATATGTTAATGAAGTTGCTTTTGTAAAAATCATATTTGACAATGCATTTAAGGGTTGCACCACAAGCAGCCACATAGAATTATCTGCTTCAGAAGCAAACCGTAGCAAATATTAGAGAATCACTGGATTTTTCACCTCAAAAAAAATAATAAAACATTAAAATATATGATATCATTGCTATTATTTATTGAAATAAATATATTTCACTATAGAAAAGAGTGAATCTTTCGTAAAAAATTAATTCCGGATGTTTAGTGGCCTAACTAAACATGCAAAAAAAATATGTGATTTCACTAAAATGTGAAAATCCTGATATAAGAAAATAATAAAATCGGCAAAATGCACGATGAACGATAAAATGCGAATTATGGATTCATTTTTCCGTGGCCCCCTTTAACGAACAAATACGTCGTACACTATAATCCAGATCAAAATCGTTAATAAACACGCTCATGGAGAACTGATCCATATGGTTCTTTTTTATATAAACTATAGGTTTGTATAAATTTAAAAATATTATACATAAAATTAAAATAGAGGAGATATGAATGTGGATTATTAGTTGTGCACTAATTCTTTTTATGAGATGATCTCTGTTGGCCATTTCGAATGAACGAATTAAACGAGCAATGTTGCGACAAATATTAAATAAATAAATTAAATAAATTTTCAGAATGTATTTAATAATAAATAATAACAAATATTTAATAATAAATAATAAAAATAATAAATAATTTGAATAATGGACCAATAATAATTATTATTCAATAAATTATACTAAATTATAAAAAATATAAATGTCATCTATGTCTAATTTTGTAAAGGATTTATCTATATTGAAATTCTCGATTATATTTGTAAAACTTTCTTTTGGATATGTTATTGGCTACCGAAATCCTTTATAGAATGGATTTCTAAATTTCAAATTTTGAAAAATCCATTTCTTATTTATGGTGCAAGATAATCGAATGAACGGTTCTTTAGTTATTGTTGACAAGCAATGGTATATTGACTCCTACGTCCGAAAAAGGTGAATCTGTAATTGAAAATTGCTACATGGCACGATTCAGCCGTATTTTTATCACCAAATGATCCTCTATCAAAAATTTCTGACCATGCTAACAGTTAGCAAAGCAAACCTAACCAGAATTAGTGAAACCACTAACCACTTGCTCATTTATATTCTATATTGTGAAAGTAAAACTTTTAAAAATTAAAGTTTAAATGAATTAGCTAATATTTTTATTCTCTTTCTTTCAACAATACTCAATACTCACGATTTCGGGTTCACCTTATTTCACTGACATGGTAGTGACTATTGCTAGAATGAATGAGGTCCTTTCAGCAAAAAGCCATTTTTTCGAAAAATCTCAACTAAATAAATACTGGAAACTATCGAAGAATATTTCGAAAAAAAGAAGAAAGGGCCGTGTTTTGCTGGTAATAACAATATACGATAATAATAACAATGACAATAATAATAATTAATAATAATAACAATAATAATTAATAATAATGATAACAATAATAACAATAATATAAAAAATATTGATAATTGAATTTATAATTAAGTATAATTATAATTAATGAATAATAATATTTAATAATAATGATTGATAAAAAAATAAATAGCAGTAATAATCGAATTCATAGCTAAAGCTAATTACAAATAGTTACAAATATTTTAGCAATAATGGTAATTAATTGCAAATAAATAAAAATTTATGACAAGATGCTTTCTCCGATATCGCATGTATATAGCAAAAAACCTATGCTCCTCGACAAAGCGAAGGCATTCCCTACTGGCGCACCAGACTCCGGTGCCAAATTTGCCAATCACAGAGTTCACCATGACAGCATCGTGAGCTGTGCGCGAATTCCAGTCGCCATGTCAGTTGGAATTCCTTATAGGACTTATCTTTGGCGTGATCTTCCGCATAAAGTGCATAAGTGCAAATGCGCTGTTAGCTAGGATATCCGAGAATTCCTCTTTGAATCTGATACATGCCATATGATCGTCAATTGGTTCCCACATAATCAGAACGGACCCTTTCACTAATAACTGTTATTGTGCCTCTAGTCGAATAAAGTATGAACTGTAGTAAGGAAAGCGGACTTTCGGAAAACAAACGATGTCCACACCATGTTTGGAAAAAATATGGACAGTTAGCCCTTTATTTCTGGCATCATAACGTTCTGTTGTTCCGTGCTGCTATAGCCAAAATCATGCGGCATGCATAGACGACGGATAACCGTTTGTTTTTTTATAGGAATTGAGTAGGCACTCTGGGTCATTCTATTCTCAAACCTTGAAATTGTTTTGCCAAATCTTATTACAGTTTACACAATTTTACTTATTGAATGTACCAGAGTATCATGCACCTCAAGAGAACGCGGAAAGAAAATAAGTATAACCAGTTCCTTTTCTCACAGAGTCACTTGAGAAATTAGAAGTGGGTCCTCATCAGTCATTTGGACTTTTATTTTTTATAGGTTTGTTCTCGCCGAGAGCAAATTTTTTATTAATCAAGGATATCACAAAATTTAAAAGATAACTAAGTGCAAGTGCGTTATTATTACCAAGACAAGCACAGATTCTATTTTAGTTGTTTTTTAAATTAATATTTTAATTTCTTTTAAATACCGGTTTATTCAATTTGCTAAAGAATTTATAAAATTTTAGCGATTTAAAACCATCAAATATATTGTTGGACGCTGATTGTCGTGTTAAATTAGCTGATTTCGGATTAGCAAGATCACTTTCAAGTCTCGAAGATTATCCTGAAGGTCAAACGATGCCTGAATTAACAGTTCGTTGTTTTTAACACTTTTTATATTTTTATATTTTATTTTTTCCATTTTCATCTTTGGTCGATATAGGCTGAAATACTGCAAAACAATCAGAGACAATTTATTGGACTGATTGCTTCGATTCGGATCGAGCATCATTTGCTCAATCGAGTACCGCAGATACTACCTGTATTTCATAAGGTTCTCTAATAAAAATGTGAAGAACCAATTCAACTATTTATGGTGAATATTGATAAAGGGGGTCGAGTGGAGATATTCTTCCCTATTATTTTTCTATTTTTTTCCCCTTAACATTAACCACTTAGCTTATATCTCTTTTCCTCGTTATTAAATCTAATAGTGCACATTTCATTTAGCTATAAGCACAGATATAAAATTTTGAAGGGTTAAAATGCTGGTGATTGAAAATATTGGATGGGAAAAAGTGGAAAAATGATGGGAGGGATGTACGAAGATTAGTGGGATTAATGGTGATTTCGCGACTGCGAATATAACATAGAATTTGAAGTATAATAAGCATGGGTTACTTAAAGTTTAATCTAAGAAACATATTTTTATAGTTTAAACATATTTTTCAAACTATCCTATAAATTTTCAAATTTTTCATTTAGCAGAAAAAAATAAAAAATACCAATTATAATGAAATTGCACTCCTGGTATTTACTTTTTTCTAATCGCTAATAATTGTTTAATGTTTTTATTGCAAAATCTAAAGTATGAAACTCTGCTCTTGATTAGCATAGATAAGAAGCGCATTTTTGGTAAGATTTGCCCTACTATCAGTTCGTGCCTCTGTATAAGTCGATCAACAATTTCCGAATTTTTTAACAGCCTGTTTATCCTTGTCCGCCATAGATGGAATCCGAACGCTGTTGCTTTGAGAATCGTTTTCTTCCAATAGCTCTCACCATTGCTTGTTAAGCTGACTTCAAGAATAAGATTTTCCAAGCTGTTCGATCAGGCGCCATCGTTGACAGCATTGACCATTCTTTTTTCCATCATCTAAGGCCATATATTTCTGGTCCATCTATTCTTTCTTTCCTGACTATACATCAGTCCAGGTTGATTCGCCTACTTCGCTTTTTATGCTATCCATCATAACGCTTAGCAAGTAACGAAATGTGACAATTCTGACGGAGAACCTTAACTATCGAAGGCGAATTGTTAATGCATGTGGTATTTATGGTGGATGCAATCACGTGAGATTGTTTTAAAATTATAATTTTAATAACAATCGCTCGACTATCGTGATCAAACATGCAATATGCATTATACATAAAAATTCTAGGTGATGCTGATGACCCACTTGCATGTCAAAAATTTTTTTCTAGCAAACAAAATTCTCGGTGTAACAACTTGTTAATAGTACTGGATTTTTCTTGCTTCTATAGAATGTGCCACCAACAATGTAAAACTCCGATATTTGAAGTGGGCAGCATAATATTACATAAGGAAAAAAGTCGTTAGGTAAAAAAAATCTGAATCAAAAAACATTTCAAATGGACAAGGCTCACCAAATTTATTTTGAATGGTTAAATTGATCAAAAAATTGCAACAGGTTCAGCAATTTTTGTCCATAATATCTATCCACCTTTCCCATATCTATTCCAAAAAAAATTCGAAACCATAAAATTTTATTTCAATATCTAAATTTAAAATAAATATAACCATTCGAATTAAACTTTTCTCTAAATAAGGAAGTAAGGTCAGGTTTGTCACTGGTTCTTAACATGTTAAAAAATGCCAGAAAAAAATTTTTCATATGCACGTCGGTTACCAGCATCACCTAAATTTTTTAATGGCAGTGCTGAGCCAACAGCACAACATGAATTATTCTAGGATCTGAATCTTCTCCCTCCCTCTCCTCCCTCCTCCCCCCTACCCCCTCCCTCTATTACGATAATTTGAGTCATTTTTCACTACTGCCATGTTCCTAATTTTTCCCTGAGTTTAAATTAAAAAAAGTGGAATGAATGCCACCTATAAGTTTCAGTACTCAAGTATATCTGAAAAATAAACGAAATTCTCGGCGCAACAACTTTTTAATGCAGGGGCATCAGCTTTTACTGTTAATATTTTCATCTTACGCCTTTTTCTTCTAATAAGTATGTTCTTACTAGTTCGATTGGCACCACTATACTGAGGCATTCCTAAGCCCTTCAACCCGATGTTTCATTTGAAAATAATTTATCACTTTAGCGTTTAAACTAAAATATCGCTGGTCGACTTACTGACTACTTTGCTCATCTATCTAAATCATTTAAATACGATTACGATTTACGATTGTCATTTACGATTTTTTTTTAAAATATCATTTGATGAAATTATAAATTATTAAAATTAAAATATGCAGTCTAATTTTGGTATAAAGATCCGTTTTGAAAGGATTGTTCATTCAACGATTGCCGAAGAAATTTTAATATTTATTTGAAAAAAAGGATATTCATTTCCTATGAGATTAGTTATTTAATTTAGGAATATGTAGCGACTCGGTGGTATCGTTCACCGGAAATATTGTTGGCAGCAAAACGATATACAAAAGGTATTGATATGTGGAGTCTCGGGTGTATACTCGGTGAAATGCTGCTTGGTCGAGCACTTTTTCCTGGAAGTTCAACGATTAATCAGATTGAACGAATTATGAATACTATACCTAGACCATCGATGGTAATTTTCTACTATTATTATTATATTTGATAATAACAAAACAGCAATTTTTTTTTCCAGTTAGTCGGCCAAGAAATCATTTTGTCACTTTATTGTAAATCTATCAATATTCTCATCAATATATTCAATATATCAATTTTAACCGATTTTTATATCGAAAAATATTATTAAATATTAAATTTATATTAAATTTAAAGTTTATTTAAAGTTTTGTCATATAAAAAATTTCTATAGGGACCAGGTGCATGCGAATATATGAAAAATAATAAATATAACAGGCAAAAAATTACAGTTGGATATCGAAAGTATAGGATCGCATTATGCGACATCAGTGCTTGAAAAAATGCCGCAAAGGCCTCGTAAACCAATCGAATTATTTATTAATAATGCTGATTCGAGTGCGATTGATTTAGTGAGAAGGTTTGTGCAAAAATAATGAAAATTGAAACTGCTGATGAAATTCATAATTTTCATAAGGCAAAAATTCATAATAGGGAAATTCATAATGGGTCCAGATTTTATAAAATTTTCGAGAACATAAATTTATAAAAGGATTTTGATGAAATTGGACCGTTCTATTTTCTTCGAACCTTTCAATTTCTCTTATTCCGTGTTATTCCATTAATATTCCTTTTTGCTTTCACGTCTACCGAATCTCTTTTCACGGTTATCGCGGTTATCGTTTACCTAAATTTCCTCACATTTCATATTATTAGTGGATAATGGTAAAAGAATAGAATGGAATTTGGCATAGTATTTAGGAATAATGGGTTAGCTAAAGTTAAGTTAGTTAAAGAGGATAATATGTTTGCACTTGTGCTGACGTGACGATATTGAAAATATTAGTCTAGGCGTTTCTGACCAAAAAATTATAAGATCTGAATTATCAAAGGCCAAATAGCAAAGCAGAATGAATAAAAGAGGTTTGAGAATAGCAATACCGCATTTTGTAGGCCCGTTAGGATAACAAGAAAACATAACAGAATTTGACTAATCCTTTCAAGGCTTTGTTTAGTTTTGGAAAGATCATAAGATAACTTCTCACGAAATGCTTCTTAAAAATTAAACTTCTTATATAGAATAGCTTTTTTGGGCGTATGATAGCACAGTCATTAGTAGTTCAGAATGTTCTGTTGAAAAGCAAGGGTTTTGCTCTTGTGCTAACAGCAATAAATTTTTGTAAAATCCTGGTGATGCTAGTGAAATGCCTCTTCTCACCGAACCAAGACCCGGCGGACCATTTAGTAGAATAAAATGGTTTCAAAATTTTAATTTTTTAATTTTGTGCCATGCAATTAAAATCTTCCACTTTTTAGAAGTCTAATTTTGTTCGTTAAAGACTAGGAAATCTGAGAATTGAAAACATTTAAATCTCTGAACCTCACCTGTAAAAATAGTTTAAAGAACCAAAAAATTTAGATTATTGATATTTGCGCCACATAAGCGACTCAATGCTGAACAATGTCTTGCACATCCATACGTTTTCCAATTTCATTCACCAAAAGAAGAACCAACATTGACATACGATATAACATTACCACTGCCTGATCATATACAATTAACCATCGATGAATATCGCAATAAGTTATATGAAATAATACAGCAAAAGAAGACAAATACAAGAAAAATACAACTCTACAATAAAACCACCAATAATCTTAATAGGTTGGTTGGTTTTTATTTTATTACTGTCGTAAAAATTCTTATAAATAAATAAATACAGCTGTTAATTACTATAACAGAAACGACGAATGATGACAAGTCGTAACGATGAAAAGAAGTATGAAATAGAGTTCGGAAAAAATCTTTAAATTTTATTTTTAAACAACCATGTCTGCTTTTATAGATAAAAATAATTAGCGAATATTTGTGGCAAAAAAAGTGAAGGAATACGGTAGTACGAATTAATAGGGCCAAGTAAATCGGGCTGCATTTTGCTTTGACTAAAGTCAGGCATCATGAATTTGATACTTGTCGCTTAATGGAAAATGCCAGTTAAGGTGAGATGACCCGCCTATACTTCCAAGTGATTCTCTGGCGAAAGGTCTCCTCCTGGTTGTCGCTGGTTAAACCTGAAATAACCCCAGAAAACTTATACTAAAATTTTTAAATTTTCTTTCCCTCGATAAATAAAATCTTTATTTACGAGAATCGATAACAGAAAATATTAATGGTTACAATATATTTCATCGCTGAAAACATTTCATTGCTTTCTTTTGCAATGATTTTATAGATGCACTACTGAATCTGCGAATATTCGTCGATCGAATATATTTACAAATGTAAAATTATTAAATGAATCCAAGAAAAAAGAAAGGAAAGCACCGATAGCTCAAGCTGAATGTAGTGACACTGACTATGAAACGGCCAGGGAAATGAATAAACAATTATTCAATGATAAGCAGAATAATAAGGATATTAATAAATTGTACAGAGGTGAATTTTAATTAATTACTGCGAACTTATTATTTTTATTATTACCAGATATTATTCATCAAAATCAGAAACAAGTTAAATGCATCAAAAATGATTTGAGAGAAAATGTATTTTTAAAAAATTTGCGAAAAATAATGATTTATGACTTTCTTAAGATTTCCCGTTCTTTTTGTTAATTCAAATTTGAGATATAAATATTTTCAATTGGGAAGATTTTAAATTTTTGTAAAATAAAAATACTTAATGTCTTTTTTAAATGAAAATTGATATGAAATAAAAATTATCTCTATTATTTCCACTATTTTTATCAAAAATGTATTAAAGAAATTGATATAGCATAATTATTTTCCTGAAATTAACAATGAAACCGTCTGCAAATGAACGAAATCCCCAGTTTTTCATCACAGAAAAATTATAAAATATTTGAGATAAAAATTTTTGAGTTACGGTACAAATTCACCAAAAAACGAACCATTTCCTGATGAAAAATTTCTTTGTGTCCAGCCGAATATGTAAAAGGCCCTTTTAGATATATATAAAGGAGTATTTTTTGTAGAACGAGCCCAAAGCGCTGATTCTCGGCAAACAGTCTTGAACCAGGATTCTCGAATTAATCATACCAGTGAAACTGGAAAAAATCATCAACATTCTCGAAATTCGGCAGGAATTCTTTCCACTTTTCGTAAAACTTCATCCTCTCGAAAACATTCAACAAAACAATCAAATGCTCACTAAATCAAATCCAACATCATTTTAAATTTTATTTGCCATGTTCATTATATTAATTTTTAAAAATTTTTTTTCAAAAGGAATATTAAATCTTTTCTTTTTTAAGTGGCGATTAACTGTGAAAATATCGTGAATCCTATTAGTAAAAAGACCCCTGCAGAACCATCTCAACTCGACTATCAAACTCGGCTACCTTCGCATCCCCACAAACCCACTCCATTCTCTTAACAGCCTTTTCAAGCCACCAATTTATGATATATATTATAACTTGTTAGTTTTCAAAGGAAATAAATAAAAATTTCCATTTTTTTTCCTCGCACTAACGGTCTAAGGCATTTGAGACCTGCAAAACGTTTTTGCAATTCTTCCGAAAGCGGAAGACATCTCTGGAGCGTCTCACTTTTTCGCTTTACGAATATTTTTTCATCTTTCGATTTGCCACTAAAACTATAAGAGATGTTTCATAGTGAGCAGCGAGGAGGAGCACAACGAGCATAACAGGAAATGCATATTTCTGAAGATTGTCTAAACTAAACAGAAACCTCGAAAAAGCCTAAGCCTAAGTCTAAGCTTGATGCTTCCAATATTTTTCAGCTTATCCGTAGAAATGAAAATATGCCTTAAATACCTCGTCATTTTCCAGAAATCTGTTAAATTTGCCGCATTCTCAACCGACTTATTCGACAGATTTCGGAAAGTACTGAAAATATTATTTACCTTCCAAAAAAAATCGACCACTACTATTAAAGTAAATAAATTACGGAAGTGAACCAACCACGGAGAGTTCGGCAAAACTTCATTTTCGCTAGAATAATCAAACGCTAAAATTCAATTCAATTTTCGATAAATTTATTAGAGATAAAATAATAAAATCAATTTTTCACCAAAAATAATGCACCGAACGAAATTTTTTCCACATTTGAGCATAAAATTACACCAAATTCACCAAAATTATTGAAAAGTAACTATCAACAAACAAATTTAAATTTTAAAATTTAAAATATCAAAAAAACATGCAGACTGAAGGGAAAATGCCAAAGATAATGTTAAAGAAGCTTATAAAACTGATGGATATGGAGCTGTCTGACCAAAATTTTTCGCTGTTATAGATTCATTTATTCGAAACGACAGATAATATTGCAGAGGCTGCAAATTAGGGATTGAGTAAGTTTTTTGGGATTGTGTAGGGCGCTGGGTTTGTTTTGAAATGTGGAGGTGAAGTGGTTCGTTTTATTTTTTGCGGAATATGTTGGCCTTATGCTTCAGTTTCAGTGTTTCTTCTAGTGAAAGGGGAGGTGCGTTGTGTGGAACGGAATAGAGCCATCTTAGGGTCGGAATTCGATTTTTGTCCGTTAACTGGGAGGGGAACCGTCATGACAGTTCGATGCAGTGGTAGGAAGCCATCGACGCTTCTTCTGGCTGCTTCTGTGGCTAAGAGCTCCTCCCAGCAGCCGTCGAAGTAAGTAAGAAGTAAGAGTGTCGAAAGCACTCAGCGGAACAAAAAATTTTTTCGTTCTTGCTTATAATATATTTATTATATTAATTATTTTTTTCCACAGTTTTACGTTATCACTTTCGCAACCCATTAAGAAATAAGGAAGCTGTCCAAGTCACCTCTCTCTCGTTCTCTTTTATTCTTTTACCGAGTTCTGCTTTTTGCTATGGAGCGATATGACGCACTTCAAGAAATATGAATATTTCGTGTTTTGAATGACGGCAATTAATTGGTTGATAAAATTTGTATCATATCGTTTTCAAGCATAAATCTGGCTCATCATGCTTAAGTTTATCATAATTATAAACACATATGCAGCCAAGAAGGGACGGGATACCTGAGTGAATAATAGCGGATCATATTGTCGTGTTTGAAGACAATTCGAATTATGCCTCCGATAATAATTAATTTTCGTTCTGCGTGCTTCTAGCGATCCACTTGTACTCTTCTTACCCGTTGAAAATTGCCAACTGTACTGGAATCCAGTGTAGCTAGCCTAATCGGAAATGATAAGAGCTATGCACTTATTAGTTACCAAAACTGATTAATTTAGTCTTTCCTAATTTAGTCTTAAGTATGTTCATTTTTTTATGGATTAAATCAAATATAGTTTTTATTCGTCGCCAGATTTTGGAACAAATCAAGTATTTGGGGAAATAATTCTATTCTATTCCAATTCTATTCTCTGGATTAGAATTTTTTAAAATAGGATAGTTATTTAAGGGTAATTTAATATTAATATTAATGTTAATATTAATAGTATTAATTTTAGAAATCAACTAGTTATGCAGATATTTATAAGGGATTATGTTGGTAAGGATCATATTTTTGATATAGAACCAACGATTACGATCAGCGATGTGAAAGCAAAAATTGAAATTCTACAGAATATACCAGTTAAGGAACAACGCCTAATTTTTGGAAGTAAATTTGTTTATTTTTTTGTTACAAATAATTTGATATAAATATTTGTTTTGAATAAAATTTAGTTTTATAAAAAATTTTCGGAAATTTATACCATATCACCATCATTAACAGAATTTTTTGAATGTATATTTTAGTTGATTTTTTAATTTATTAGTGCTGATCCCAAGAGTGTTGTATAATATTTGGAACTACGGCACTTTTGGACCCAACTGTTTCATTTAATCAAGTTTCTAATTGTGATAGGTCGACAGCTGGAAGATGATGAAACTCTGTTTGGGTCAGATATAAAGGCTTTGGATACACTCCATCTTCTTCTTAGGTTTTTTTTATTGTTTTTAAATATTATATATCTGAAAAAAGATTTTTAGGTCCTCGATTAGGTAGTAATAGCTTCCTTTTTTAAGTGCGGGAATTGAGGATATTCGGTTGAAAACACATGAAGTAGTTGTCGAAAACTGTGAAGAAAAAAGCTGAGGAAATATATGGTGAAATGAATTTAAGTAAGAGTTGAAAGCATAAATAAATTTAAGGGAAAAGGTAATATGCATATTCTTTTGGCTATACCTACAGAAGATCTACATAATGGAGATATGACGATTTTCGCGATGATAACGATAGTGTAGTGCATAGATTTGGTCGATCAATTTCTAGTGCTTGCATTTCCAATTAAGCTTGTCTCTATGGTTTGTCGGATTAGATAAATTTTGCTAGGGAGTCAATAGTCGATATAGATAGGGTGAATCATCAGTATCATTCGAATTTTTGAAAGGCAAGTTGATTCATGTCAGGAATAGAATTCGACGCTTCTAAAGAAAAGAAATAGTTCACTGAAAAGCTGTAAAAAAATTGAACACATTTAGTTTGTATGTATCTTTATGTTTTCGTAATACTTTTTTGTTTTTTCTTATTTACAGATTACGAGGTGGTGGAAAAAAGAGAAAGAAGAAGACTTATTCAACTCCAAAGAAACTTAAACATAAACGAAAGAAGATCAAGCTTGCAGTTTTGAAATATTACAAGGTTAAACAAGGTTTTTTGTCTTTTTATTTATCACAAAGAAGCTATGATCCATTTCCACTGTTTTGTCTGGAAATGAGTTGCTTGGGTTGATTTTGCTATTTTCCTTGACAGAAGTGAATCTTTTTATTAAATTTATAAAATGCAAAAGGTTATGTCGCGAAAATTTCTTATTTTAGTAGTCGAGGCTCTAAAGCTTAAGTGAAAAGTAATGAAAGTACCTTAAAGTTGTCTTATAAGGTGATGATGATATTCCAGTAAAATTCTTCGGTGTCCAGGCCTATGAGAATATTATGATTCATGGAATGTCTGAACCACACATGGTATTATTTATTAATGATGATACAGTATTCACCATATTCTTTTGTTGGTTTGAGTTAGCTCGTTTTTTTGATTTTTTGTTACAAGAAGTGACTGATCGTGAGTTAATCGATCATGCAAATCAATTAAGGTAGATGAGAATGGAAAAATTTCCCGGCTGAGGAAGGAATGCTCGTCTCCCACCTGTGGCGGTGGTGTATTTTTGGCCAGTCATCAAAATCGCTATTATTGCGGAAAATGCTATCAGACGTTGGTTATGGTAGATCCAAAAGAAAAATCTGTTCCTAGCAAAAAATAATTTTATTGATCAGTTGTTTTTTATTTTTCGTTTATCTGGATTTTTTTATTTTTGTTTCATTTCCATCATATTGAGAATAAATGAATTCTTTAATTATTTCGTCTGCAGAATTTTTCAAAAAATAATAACTTTTATTGGCAGTGATCGATTATATATTGTTGAGCCATATTATATACAAAATTAGTGAATTGCATTTTTATAACATTATATTTTTAGTTTGTTACCGCAATACGTCAAATATGAAAAAAGGAAATAAATCATTCAATTATTTATTTTGTTACGATAAATCAGATGACTTGGTTCCCATTGGACCATCTGCAAAGGTTTTACATTCGACTCAGTCTTGCAACACTGTTACAAAGTTGAATTTGTGGCACACTACATAATCCACAACTGTACTGACAATTTTCGCTCATCCATTGGCGCTTTTGGTCACACTGTGCATGAGTTGCCCAATAGGGACATGATATATGACGATCAAAACATCCTAAAAAAGTATAATTTTCAATTTTGCAGCGAAGCTGTGTTAAAATTTATTAAAGTTCATCGGGCTGAAGTGGTAAATATTAAAAGATGAAAATATCTTTGTTATAAATATCTGGTTTATTTCAATGTTAAATTTATTTAAATAATATTTATACGTAAAAGTATTTCTGTTGATTAAATTTTTATGGAAGAACAATGGTTGCTAAGCTAAATGCAAAAAAATAGGGTTATGATTAAAATTAGATGAATAAAAGGAAATTTGGAAAAGAAACCTGTTCTTTGTGGGCTGCTACATAAGCCACAACTTCGTCTGCAGAATCTTTTCATATATATTAAATTTCTATCACATTGATTTCGTTCAGCCCAAAGGCTACAGCAGGGATCATCATTGAAACATCCATTATCACCAAACGGCTGCCAAATTACCAAAATTTGAAATTTTAGGAATTTTAAAAATAGGATAAAATTGTGAAATAAAAGCGAAGTGGAATGTTTTTAGATCACTATATGTTTTCTCTAGAAATGTTTTTGCCAGTAAAAAATACCGAAATATTTAGAAATGACGTATTCCTAAACCATGTTGGTTTTCTCGTTGATGAAATTGGATTCCTAGAAATTGATGTTTGCTGTGCCACTCGTCGATTATTTTGCATTAATTGCTAAAAAATTTTTAGCAAAGAAAATGTTGGGGTGGTTTTGTGCAAAAATTTTAATATAGGCTTCCATTTTAAATTTCCAGCGACATTGTAATGATAATTTCCGTCAAATATTAAGATTAATTAATAAATTAAAGCATAAATCAAGAAAGCCCTATGAGCAATGTAGTTAACGATAACAAGGCTAAAACAAAGAGAAATACAAATGAATGGAATAAAATAATAAGTAAAGCAGGAAGGAAAAACAACGATAAATATATTATTGGATGCTGGATTTACATTTTTATTATGAGATGTTGGTGTCTTACTCAAATACTGAAGTCATACGAGGCAAGAATAATAACCTCTCCTAGTAATCAATACTTTTAATAAAAGTTGTGGAATATAATACAGGTGCCATTCCACAGTGTTGTGGAATTTCATTTTATCTCCTTATTAAAATTATTAAAATTCGTTTATTAAAATTCAAGTCGTAGAGTTTAGGTGATTGATGTGGCCGAATAAAATTCTTGTAAATCAGATCTTGTTTAATTCCTGTCTTAGTAACTCTTAGAGAATTAGGGTTAATTTTAAATTATAAGTAAGCGCCATATGAAGTATTTTTGTAGACTCTCAATTTTAGGTGATTTTAGGTGATACACACGCTGCGTTCTAAGTGTGGACGGACAAATGTGTTAATACATATTTTAATGTAATAATACATATTTTAATCAAGAAATTTTTTGACTTGTTCCTAAAAGATTGAAGAGCGGATTCGAAATTCTGGATGATTTTTTGAACAATGTAGGCCGATGTCAAGTTCTTCAGCAATTAATAAACCAAAATTTCAGAAATTGCACGGATTAGTACTAAATTATTAAATCACTAAATTATGAAAAATTTTATCTATAGGAGCCCAGAGCCAGATAATTATAAATTTTTTTGAAAGGCATTTAAATTCTATTCTACCATGTGAGAAATAAATTTTACTGTTTTTTGCTTACAGTTGAATTCAAAACAATATTAAGACACTGTTAATATATGGAAGCGAAGGGCCTATAAAACTATAGGTGTACACCAGACCTGGCCACAAAAATTAGAGAGAATGCTATTAATACGAGCGCTCTCGTAATGATTGCTTAAATGATTGCTTATCCAGTTTACATCCAGTTTGAGTTGAGTTTACCCGTGATGTCAATAAGAACTGCGATTAAATCGTATGTGAAAGTATGTCGAAAGTTTAGCAAATAGATCATCTAGGTTTGACGCAGCACACAAGGGCAATTGGTTTAGAACCACATGTGTACCTCTAATAATGAAAAATTAATATCTGGAAGCGAAGGATTGCCATATTTCTAGTGGAAGTAGCACTATCATCTACAAAAACTGTAGCGAAGTAGTTGTCAAATGCAATATCCTTCATGATCATAGTATCATCCATCTTCAGAGAAAGTTTTTTTCTGGCTAAAAATGGTCCACGGATGGACTCTAGGGAAGAAAATAAGAATTCTCGCAAGAATGATTCCAGAAATATATGAATGGATGAAGGCGTAAAAAAACTAATGCATAAAATGTGTTCTGATGATTTTGTACGGGGACTGCGCATTATGATCACTGGTGGAAAACGATTTTAACACAGATCGAATTAATAGGAGAAAAAAGAAGAGTTAAAAAAAACTACATCTAAGATATTAATAAATCTAATAGAAACACTCACTCTAAACCGGCATAGAAACAAGAATTCAAAGAATTCAAAAGTATTATTTTTTTAATTTAATATAATGGTCCAATCCATCCTAGAAAACTTAAGGTCATCAGCAATTAAGTTCCTTTGAAACAAATTTAAAATACATAATACATAATAAAAATATAACAAATTGGATAAGTCAGAAATAAAACTATTATTGGGGAACTGCGAATTGGGGAATAAAATAGGAAAATATTTTTGTTTTAAATGGAAATTTTGGTAACTGAGTATGTTAAGATTTGTAGATTTGTACAAAGAAGAAAATAAGATCCTCAGCTTTAAATGTACCAGCATGAGTAGAACAAGGTCTATCTTCTCTTATCTTCTCTTATCATTAGGAAACCGAGAATTTTAGCTTATCATCATCAATATAGTCGTTCAACCTAGCTATAAAGACAAAATACATTAATAGATTTCCGACCAAAAATAATCTTCGGAGTTAATGCTAATGTTAATGTTAATGAGTTAGTGTTATAAAAAGAGATAGAAACAAATGGATCACTGTTCGTACCATCCCTACTTATTATAAACTTTTATGCTGAGGCAGGTTGACCAATAAGAGATCGGTCTACTGTACGTTCGCATAACAATAGAATTTTTCCCAATTCGACAATTTTTAGATCTCTTACCTTAGTTATTTGAGAATTCATAAATTTTTTGAGATTGATCTAACATTACTTCCGCAATTACTGATTCAATTGCGGATATCATCTTGTAAGATCCTTTCTCAAGAATCCTCTCCTCATTAAAGAATAATGGGCAGGCATGTTACATAATAATGAAGCCGCAAAATATTTATTTTATAAGCAATTTTTCATGAGGACTATCCCTATGATCCGCTTTAATACATTGGACATTCTTATGTTTTTAATACATACACTAATGTTCACCTGTTGGCTCTCACACTTCTTAAAGAGGCCAACTGAAATTAAGTCTCTCTTCGGATTTAAGCAGACATGTCACAAGGTTTGGACTGGCAACAGAACTTTTCCCAACCTTTTTTGGTGCCAAAAAATAAATTTTAACCAAAGTAATTCAATGGAAGGGAACGAGCAGTGATAATAACAAAATTTAGAAAAATATATAAAAGAAGTTGAGTTGCCCCAATTAAGTTGAAAATTAGAAATTTATTTAATATTATTAAATAAATAATAGATTTTTAAAGTTTCTGAACTTTTTTTGGCACCTGAAGTGATGAATTTTTTTATCTCCGCAATATATTACACATATGTGCTCCATCGAGCCTCTACATAAATGGTAAGTATTGCTTCCTCAACTGTAGAGGACAAATAAAATGCTGGAAAGTTACCAAAGTCGACGGTGGAGGTCTGCAAATGCCATTAATACACATTCCATTGTAACAGGCATCATCTTGCTCAAACCCTCGGCAATTTCCATTCATTTTTACCTTCGATATACAACGAGAGATACCATTACGGATACTACAGAACAAATATTGCGAATTGCATGATGGGCTCCTTATGCTACATGTTGGTCGTGGTTCATAAGTATACATATAATCAGTATAGCTATTCGATAAACCTTAATTATTTTTTATCTATCATTAAGAAGAGTAAATAATGAAGAAAGCACTTCTCATTGGAAAAAACTTTATTTGAAGAACTTCTGACCTTGTATATTCAAAATATTAAATGGTCGCATTGGAGCATGTGAAAAATGTAAAGGACTTGAACACTGTTCAATATTCGGTGAATATTGCTAAAATAATGAAATTTCTTTGGAAAATTTAGCTGGTTAAAAATTAGTAAAAGGCCTTTTAAATTTTTATAAAATAGGGATGAAAACTTGTAAGAATTCGGAAATTGCAAAAAAAATTGATTACATAAAATTTTCGCGATTGATCTTTAAATGTAAAAGAATTAACATGTTCACGTTGAAAACGATTTTGTTTTGTCTGTCGCCATTGTTCGAAAATGAAATCCACAAATGAATGGTGAAAAAAAAAAATGGGATCGTTTGCTGACCTTCGTGGAGGTTTCATATCTCCACCAACCCAAGAATGTACACTCGCATGACTGTATTCGAGTGCACCAAAGTTTGGGGGATAAATACATCCTATAATTTATTTTATATTAATTTCATATCCAACCTTATACGATTTTCTAATATTTATTTTCATTTTCTCAGTAAGCATTCCCAATCGTAGGTTTAGGAAATCGTAGATTTGATTCCCAAGAGAATCGTGGCGTAGCTTGTACTTTAGAATAAATAACAACATACATCTATCGTTTAAAGCTTATCCTTCATGCGACAAATATGAATGTGGAGTTATTTTCCGCTGAAAGCTTAAAGTCTATCAAAATAATTTGGCTTGCTTCTGGTAGTAAATAAGTAACGTTCTCTGAAGGCGAAAAATTAATGGCACTTAATCGCATAAATATTCAAATTATTCATTAAACACAGACCACTTTGTGGTGCGGTATAAGCCAAGACTCCATCGATACTCTGTTTATTATAAAAATCTTGAAGATTTTTTTCAGTGAAAAGATGACCTTCAATACCCAAATTCCTGCAAAATTGAAAGAAACTTGTGAGAAATATAATAATTTCATTAAACAAAAAATAAGATCCACTTCATTCAATGATCTTTTCAAATATTAAATTTTTGCTACTTTTTGTAAAAATAATTGGTTTCGATATAATATTTAAATGGTCAGCATTTGCATTCCTTTTAAATTTATTTATTTTTATTTATTCATTTATTTATTTTTATTTATTTTTTAATTCCACTGAATTGTGTTGGGATAATTTATTCGAATGAAGTACTGCTGTTTAGACGTTCATATCATTTTGAAACAACATTACTCGATCTCTGCTACTGACTGGATTAAGCATATTGTCAAAAAATATGGTGACATTGGAGAACAACTTATCTGCACTTCTACGCCCAAGTAAACTCTTTAGCGAAAACGCCTCATTTTAATAGTCAATGGAATAAGCTTAAGCATAAGTGGTAAACCACTAACTGCGATAACGGCAAAACTAAGTAGGAAAATATATGCGATCATTATAACCTGGTAATATAAGGATTGCCTTCTAGAGTTCGAAAATCATTTCCATAAGGACCAGTAACAACATTGTTAGCCTGATCAGTTTCACCAAATAAATAAGGTGTCCACAAAACCGAGTCTCTTGGATCTGGTAGAAAACCATCCATTACAGAATCCCAATATGGTATCGCTACAGTTGGATCAATTAGCCGCAAGGAGATTTCATATCTACAATAATGACTATTTAGATGGAAGAAATAGCAATTTCATTTTACCATTTTCTTAGGCATCTTAACGAAAAATGATTAAATAATTAAAGAAAAAATTAAGAAAAATTATGAAAAATGGATTTTACAAGCGAAGAACCAAAAATCGGGGAATTTACCTTGTATTCCTGAGTAATTATCTGGCGAAAGATTATCTTAATAGTTAGTGGATCCAGTTAAACCAGAAGAAGCGGGTTTTTTTGCAAGAATCAAATAGTAAATAGTGAAAAATGAAAAAAAATAAATTTTTATAACCCAAATAACTTCATAACTTCATGTTTTGTAAAATTTAATTTTTTTAGAATTATATTTTCACTTTTTAGGTAATCATCTTAATTCTTTTCATGGAAATTCTTTTGAACTATTTATGCAGCGATTCGTCTTTAGAATTTATCTATTTCATTGAAGGAGATGAGCAAGAATCTTTCAAAATTTTGTAAAACAAGTAATTGTTTAGTGCTGGCTACAACTTTATGACTAATCGAAAAATAAAAGAATAGAAACAAGTGACAAATAAAAGTGACAAATACCAGTTCGGAATTGCTTGACGGCAGATTGAGTTCGAAAAATGTCAAGAGGATACTTATTAAAAAATATCTAATAAGGAGAGTAATCGACTGGTTAGCAACTCTGACTATTGCGTTGATAGGCAAAAATTCGATTTGCACTCCACAGGGTAAATCCATTAAAAAAATGTATTTCCATCTTACTTTACAAAAATTTCGCACTTATTACCAGAGGAGCTATCCTACCAAAACTGTTTAATAATGTAAGGAATTTGAAAATTTTCCAATTAAAACAAATTTATAAGGAAATTGACCTTTTTAAGAATTCACGATGCCAAAGTAGAAATGCTGGACCGGAATGTGCTCCTGTACCTGATGCGAACTTCAATAATGATATAATTAATTTTCATTTTCACAAAAAAATCATTCGCATTGATGATTATGACACCAATTGAATGATTATTTAGAACTGTTTATTGAACTGGTTTATTTCGATGATGTTAAATACTGAACTAAAATAGTGATCACTTCTATTGAAAACCACCCTTTAGAACAAAATTGGAACACCTGATAAGCTACTGGACACAAAGAGAGTCGTCATTTGTATCCGTCACATGTTCATAGAAATTAACTGGCCATTCGTTTTATAACTTTCGAACAATATAAATATAATTTTAACAATATAAAAAATATGAACAATATAATTTTACTATTTTATCTTGTCTTACTTTCTTCTTTATTATTTATGAGGCTTTGCTGGCATTATTTATGGGAAAAATCTGCTGTGAAAATGATAAGGGCTCATAATACTTTGCAAAGTGGCCATCTTTCCTTCCGAGGACCTAAACCGCAATTTTTTTTGACTGAAGAAAATTCAGCTGCAAAAAAAAAAACTTTTGCGTTTCTCCCAACCTTATAAAAAAAATACTTAATGATAATGAAAAAATACTGGAAAATGAAAGAAAATATAAAAGTGAAAAAAATAAAATTTTAAAACCACAAAAATATGAAATTATCAAATTATGGGATGGTTTCATGAATATATAATGCAAACAATCGCTAATGGCGTCTAATATGTTGCGCTTACGACGTCTTGAGGGCTAATTACTAATTACTGCTTAGATGTACTGATTCAAAGATCAGACAGAAATTTTGATGAAAAAATGATAAGGAGACTTTAGGTAAAATAGTTACTTGTCTATGAATATTAGCTAACTGATCATATATAGCGCTCAGTTTCAATTGTCTAATAGCATTATTCAATCTTTGCAGTTCATCATTCGTTAACATACGAATTTCTTTACGCACTGTTCGACGCAATTCCATTCCGTTAGTAAGAAAACAACGTCCATCTGGCGCTGTCATTCCCTATTATTTAGTTCATTAATTGCGTTTAATTTCATCACAGTCATTTCAAAGATGTTAGAAATTTTTTTAAATAAAATCGAAAGTCTACACAATGATCTATTTGAAATTTACAATTTACGAAAGATGGAGATATTTGACGGTTTAAGAGAAAGGGATTGTTGAAGGTTGAAATAAAATGGAAGACGATTTCTTTACCTATTTTTAATATTAATCATTTTTAATGTTAACATGCGAAAAAAATGTTCTCTAAAAATCGAAACATAGGATAATGCCAGAAACTAACTCTAAAATATGGGCACAAGCAGTGCATATCCATACAGTCATATGCATATGGTATAAATGAGTTATTTGGTACAGCTGGTGTTAAACGTGGATTATTTGGAACACCAGGGGCATTTATTATTTGTCGATTTATTCGAATGATATTTTGAGCATTACGCCTTGCTAACATATCAAAAGCGCGTAATTGTTCACATGTTTCTTTCATTTCTAAAAAAAATTTTTCAATTTTTTATGCAATCTTTTTCTCTAAATTGATAATATTATTTTAGTCATGTAGACTGCTTTTTAAAGGATTATACTCCAAGAAAAATTTCAAATGAATCGCACAAATCAGATGAATTTTATGAGGCATTTAATAATAACAATTATTTTTTAAAAATAATCTAAATATTTAATGATTTGACGGTAAAAATAATAGATAATGAAAAAAATATAAGTCTATGCAAATATAGAGCAACGACGAGTGATCCAAAGTTCGTAGTTAATTATTATGATTTGAGCTGTTCCAATGAAATTTTTTTCCATCTTCCTAATTTTCATCATCGGTTAACGTTCCTGGAAGTCTTCTCAAATAACTAACACTTAGTTTAGTTCTGTTTAGTTTAGTTCTGTTTAGTTCTGTTTCCAATCGAAAAAGGCATTTCTCCATATGAGTTGAAAAATTTTGTTTCACATTTATGATAAATTTTTATTTGTAAAAAATAAATGATCATGTGCAATTTTTTTAGTTATAATTGCAATTGCAATTTTTTAAATTTTTCTTTCATTTTATCAAAAATTAAAAAAAAACCACTTTATATTCATCGAATAATCTTCGTTAACTTAAATAAAAAAGGTGAATAAAAATAAAAAGTTAGTAAACATGTTTCCCATACAATATTCCTTGAAGTTTTTTTTTAAAAGTCCTCACCATTACTGGTTAGACTCGCTCCGCTGGCTTGTCGCACTGGACATGGACAAATATGCCAGTCTCTTGGTAAATAAAAAAAGGTGAGTCGCCATTACTGCATGGATTTTTGGACAAGTTTACTCCTGTGGGGAATAGAATCCTCAGCATCGGCATTCAGAATTGAGCAACAACCCACTGAGCCATTCTATTCCCATCCATTAAAATATAACCATTTATATATAATAAAATAACTGAAATTACAGTTTTGTCATAAATTTATATCGTAGAAATTACACGACTTTCACTTTTAGTTTACATCTTTAATCGAAAAATTTTTCATAATTTGTAGAACAACTTCTTTAAGAATTTCAGTTTTTCGCTATAACATACAATTCATTAATACAATACATCATTTCCACCGAATTTTTTAAAATAATATGATTGGTTTAATCATATGGTTTTTATTTTAGATGAAATATGCAAATATTCATAATTGCAGCGACCGATTTTTGCTAATTTTTGGCATATGCAGTTACTTCACGAACTTTGAATCACATTGATAAATTATGCCCTATCTTTTCTCTTTCTAGTTGAAATATTTGTTTTGATAAATTTTTTTACAATTTTGTAGGTTTTCTATTATTCATAAAGCTAATTAACGAATAAAAATTTAGAATTTCCATAAATTTTTTTCTCAAAAGTTCTTTTCCTTTTGAATCACCTTTTTTTGCCAATTATAATTTCGCTATAATAAAAGATAATAAAAAATTTAGAAACTAAAAAAGATAAAATATTTGTAAAAAAATTGAATTTCTTTGAAAAACTTGGAAGAACTTAAAAGATTTTTAAAAGATTTCTTAAGCTTCTCGAATCACTTTAAGGCGATTTTAAAAATGTAATCAATCTAAAAAAAATAGTTTAAAGTAATAATTAAACATACCTGGCGGAGATAAATCACAGTCAATTGGTAGTTGTGCTTTGATAAACAAAAAATACGATATCGTTATCAGTAAAATCATTTTCTATAAAATATAATCATTTTTCTTTTTTTGCTATTAAGAATGCAAAAAATAAACATCAAGCTAAAAATTTGGCGATTATCAAATTTATTTATTTATTTCAACATTAAACTAAGTAAAACCAATAGCCATGTGAGCTCCAAATTATAAATTTTATTACTTTTTTCAGCCTTCTTTTCATATAAGAAAAAAACCTGTCAATAAATAAACCTATTAAGGTACTGTTGGCGGCTCATTTATATTTCTAGCCAAATTTTTCGAGTAATCAAAGTATAAAGAATTTAATTTATGTTAATTTAATTAAGGGAATGAAAAACGTATGAAGGGAATGAATGTATGTTAAGTTCATCGACTTTTTAAAAATTTTTAGAAATTTTTGTCGAAGTGCATCGCTCTTTAACCTCAGTTTTATTCTTTAACTTCCCTTTTTTACTTCATTTTTTTATTTTTTTTTCGTCTGTATCAAATATTTATTTTGTAAAGTGATAGTACAGTAACCATAGGTAAGAAAAAGAAAACACTGAATGATTTAAAGATCATATAAGTTGAAATAGGCATGCTGATGCAATGTATCTTCAACCCTATCTTTCAGGCAAATGATTAAACTCTATGATGAGGTAGTAATATATAATTAATCTTCTTCTTACAGCTTCACCATTATTGGTTAGGCTGGCTATAAGACATTTCCAAGCTGCTCGATCTGATGTCATTGCTTATATTCCTGGCTTATCTATACGTTCAAAGTTTTCCTGACTAGTCCAGGTATTGATTGGTCCGCTTCATTTTCGGCGTTACCCACAGGTTTTAGCAGGTAATGAAATATGTGTGTCAATTCTTGTGGTGGGCGACGATGAACATGCTCTAACTAGCGAAGGCAAAGTTCTATGATGGTACTGTTAATGCAAATGGTGTTTGAGAAAAAGTGGATGGAACCATGTGAGATTTTAATCGTTCAGCGAATACGTAATGTATCTTAGACACGAGTGGTTGAAGGAAAATAATTTCTGCTCTCATTGGCCATGTCTCGCAGCCTTATGGCAAGATCGAGCAAATTGCAATGATATGGATGTGGGCTTTTGCGCAACGGCTCCACGAAGACTTCGTCAACTGGAAGAATATAGTTAATGGAGCCAATCAAATCAGAGATGGTGAGTTATTTTGTTAGAGATGATAAACAACATTATTCTTTGTTCGGCCAATGCTGCATAATTAATGTTGCAAAAGTAATTTTGAAAGCCAACCTAACTAAATGTTCGATCAGTAATCACTTACTGACAGGTATTTCAAAGAACTCTTCAAAAATTTTGAAAAATTCTTTATGAGGAACGACTAATAATTATTTTTATTTCATTTGTTTTAATTTAAAATCGCAAATGATAAAGTTCAAAAGTTTCTCCGGCATTAACGAAAACAACTCCAATCAGTCAATTTTTTATCATTAAAAGAAGCGAGTAGTTTTATTGATTAATAGTCTGAAAGTTTAAACATAATCGAATTTATTAAATAGTTAAGTCTCATTTTCAAACAAAGACAGAAGTAATTAGCGTTTAAACACAGTAATCATAGTGAGTGGATAGTAGTATAGATTTTCGGTTGAGTGGCAAAGGTTAGCCTGTCGTTTAAAAATCTAAGAATGCTACCAGCGGATGGGCCTCTGGCGAAAATTTGTAATTATACCAACAGCAGAGCTAATCTAATCAAGAAAGGTGAATACAAACAATTATTTTCTAATATTTTATTATCTAACATCAAATTTCGATATGTTCGAAATAAGGAATAACGAATAGTAGCTTGGAATATACAAATACAATCTTATCTTCAAGGAAATTTTTTTAATTCTTTTGAATCGGCCAAATTTAATTGAGCTGACTATTGGGATTAAATCCTTTCCGAACTGTTTGAGTCTAGAAACATGGGTTTATCCCAGCATTATCTGCAATGAAAGGCAGAAAGATAAGAATCAAAGTTCATAATGCCACAATCTCAGTCGAAAGAATATTATTCTAGTGAATACCTGGTATTCGTTTGAAAGCAATGTTTAATTTTTGGTTAACATTCGTATTAATCAAAACTCCACTTTCAATGGCGAGTTTATCATTAACAAGAGACAAGAATCATACAGAATATGTTTGATCTTACTTGAAGCAGCATACGATTTGAATACAATATGCTATTTGAATATTTTTATTTTTCATTTATTCTTTTACTTTTAAACTTTTTGATTGACATGGTCGGAGTAGTAGATAGTTTTTTATGATAAAAGGTAAGGCATCTTCTTCTCCTACCTCTTACGGGGCATTTAAAAATCCGGATAGTGCTGGCGCTTTGCCTATACCTTCGGCCAACTTTATTTATTCTCTTAGTTCAATGCACGTTCATATTCATATTTGTTTGGCGACGAGAAAAAGTGAACATACTTCGATCATGACTCGTGATATGATAAAAGATCTTAAAACCAAAATAAAAAATTTATTTATTTTTTAAGTACTTACCGCATCATTAATTAGAAATATGGTTTTTGATCGTGTTATACTATAATCGATAAAAATTTAAGAATTTTTCACGACTTTTTTTTCTAATTTTCGTGAAATCAAAAGAAGTAAATGAGTAAGCAAAGCGAAAATAAATTAATTAAGAATTAATTAAGAAAGAATATTAAAGATAGGTGCTTCTACAAAAAATATTCAAATATATCATATATAATTTTTTAATGCATTATTCATATGGTTTTAGTGCTGAGCATTAGAACTCGAAAAAATCGTCGGTCGCGATGGAATATCTTTATTTCATGCTTTTTAGCATCTAAATAATAGCCGAAATACGGTAAAAAAAAGAAACAAGAAAAATTAAATTATCAAAAATCGTTTGTAATAAATAAATTATTTATAATTAATAATCGTTTGTAATAAATATATTATTCAATTTTCCAATGACACGATATATCAGAGCCAAAACGTTGAGAATTTTGAAATTTCAAACATTTTTTCATATTTCAAAAGTTTTGCAAAGATTGATTTTGAATTCCTTATAGCTCAAAAAGAAGTTCATCCAGCTAAATAAATTTATCGCTTTTGCTTTTTCTGAATTATCGAGAAATGTTGGTGAGAAAACAATAGAATCAATGATTTTTCGATCCAGAACTGATATTTCAACTTTTTTCTGCAAAAACAAATATTTTTCTTATAATTTTCTAAGAATCTCGGTAATTTCATAATTATTACAATTATGAAATTATTCCTGCTTAACTGGACAGGACTAAACTTGTCAACTGCCAATTGGCTGCTGAAGAATCGCCTA